ACTCGGGCCAACACTGCTGATGTCTTCACCAAGGCACTTCAGCCTTGTGATCATCAGCGTTTCTGTACTGTTCTAGGCCTTGTGCCTACTGTGCCTCACTTGCTTACTTCTTGACTTTGCTTGTACTGTGATCCTTATATATGTATACCTGCATGTTTACACTTGCTAGGTTCAGATCACTGTACTGCTTGTTGTATTATCAAACTGCATGTGAACTGGTCTTGTGACCACTTGCTTGTGCTCGGAATTTGTGTGGCGTCCTTGAGATCCACCCTGAGTTGCTTTGCTTTTCTTGACTGGTCTTGTGACCTCTTGTTCTCCCCCACTTTGCCTATGGGGGTGTGTCAAACATATATGCTATATCTTGTTTAGGCTGTAGTGGGGTAGTCAATATGGGGTACAACACTTTAGGGTTTCACTACTTGTACCCAACTTCCTGCTAATGCAATCACTTCTTGTTTCTAGATTCTGACAGACCGATGCTTCCCAAACCCGCAGGGGACAGGGTTTTAGAGGATGGTGCGTGGGGGAGCAGTGCGCGGAAGAAGCGGAAAGGGGCGAGCGGGGAGAGTTGCGGGTTCTGGCTGGCAAAGAAGGGGCGGGCCTGTTCCAGCTGCAGGAAGCCCGGCCACATGTACTCCCCCCCTCCCCCCTGCACCCCGCTCGTCTAGGGGTCCGCTTTCTTGGGCTTCTCTTTCTAAGGTTTTGCTTCCCAGAGCTTCGCTTTACAGTGTTCCGCTTTCTATGGTTTTCGCTTTGTAAGGTTTCGCTAGGGTTTTGCTTTCTAGGGTGTTTGGCTTTGCATGTCCTCCCGGTGCCATCCCCTTTAGGTCATTCCCCCTCGCCCATCCGCCTTAGGCCATGCCCGCTCGCCCATCCCCCCTAGGTCATGTCCCATCGCCCATCCCATCTATGCCATTCCCCCTCGCCCATCCCCTGCCGGACACACACCCATCTCCCTTAGTTTTTCATCGTTTCCCGTCTCCCCTCCCTCCGGTGCGCCTGCCTGACCCACGTGTCATTGCAAAAATGTGGGCCTGCCTGTTTACGACCTAGGCGTTTTTCCGAAATTGTGGTGTTGGGTCGCAGGTGTTGTAAACCTCTCGAAACTGGCGTTCGTCATAATCGTCCGTTGGTGGTTGGTTTCCGCCCTTACATGTTCCACTTTTGACAGAGTTCCAGCCGTGGCACCAATTGTTGGTTCATCGCGTTCAATCCATTTTTTCGAGCGGGCGGTTCAGATTCTTCCGATGTTTTTGCTGGTAGCACTGTTTGACCGTTTATGCTTGAGAATGTCGGTGTTGTGCCTGTAACTAACAGTCGGGCAAACTGTAGTGTGTCGTGTCGTGGGGCAATACAATTTCAATCCACGGCCCAAATCGAACCCATCTGAATGGGCGGCTAAGATCGCATGCGTATTTCCACTGCTCGTTTCGCACACAGAATCAAGGCCGAACATGTGCGATTGTCGTGTCGTTTACAGTGGGAATAGTGCTTTGGTTTCAGCTTTTTCGCCCACGTTGCGCACTTCAGCGATATTTGCGCAAATAACAAGCAAAAACCGGAGACGTGGCTTCGAGCATATTACATCTACGGCTATTACACCATAACATCTATTCGATGGATGAGATTGCGTCGTTGTTTCAATCTTGGCCCATTTCGGTTTGGCTCGGTGTGTATGAGATTACGTTGATTTGAGATGTTCTCAGGAATGTTACTCAATTATAATTATGCATGCTAAAACAATCTCTATAAAACAAATATCAAGCTGCAGAAAAACCCCCTTCCTCGCTTCCTAAAATGTTTCACACATCTTCACGTTCTTTGTTTTTTGCATTCCAAATCATCATTTGTTTTTTATGTTTTGTGCTCGATACCATTTTCATAATGTCGAAGTCACGCATGTAAGTAAGTTCAAGCGCAGTTTCTGAACGACGATTACATCGCTCACGGTGACGTGAGTATTGCTGCTGTGTACTTTTACCACGACGAATCCCTACGCACTTGCATACAATCTCTCGTTGTTCGCCATGGTGATGTATGTGACTGTGAGGATGGAAGATATTGTTATGATAAAACGTCGTCGCGTGTAAGTAGTGCGAGTCGAGCCTCCCATCCAAAACCTAGAGCATCAGACAAGCACAGCTTAATTTGTTAACATATATGCAACAATAGATGTCGTTGAAGTATCAGGATGGCCTATGGAACAAAGCCTGAATTATTTATGTCTCTCTTTTGGAATGAGCTCATTTTCTGTGAGGCGTCTATCCCTAGTGCAAGGAGCCTCCCATCCAAAAATTAAAGCGTCCGGACAAGCGGAGCTTGATTTGTTGACATATGTGCAGCAACAGATGGCGCTGAAGTATCCGGCTGGCCTGTGGAACAAAGCATGAATTAGTTATCTCTCGTTTTTGGAATGAGCTCATTTTTTGTGAGGCATCTACATGTAGTCCAAGGAGCCTCCCATCCAAGAATCAAAGCGTTCGGACAAGCAGAGCTTTATTTGTTGACATATGTGCAGCAACAGATGGCACTGAAGTATCCGGCTAACCTGTGGAACAAGCATGAATTAGTTATCTATCGTTTTTTGAATTCGCTCATTTTTTGTGAGGCATCTATATATAGTTCAAGGAGCCTCCCATCCAAAAATCAAAGCGTTCGGACAAGCAAAGAAAAATTGTTTGACATATGTGGAGCAATAGATGGCGCTGAAGTATCCGGCTGGCCTGTGGAACAAAGCATGAATTAGTTATCTATCGTATTTGAATGAGCTCATTTTTTGTGAGGCATCTTTATGTAGTGCAAGGAGCCTCCCATAAAAAAATCAAAGCATTCGGACAAGCGGAGCTCGATTGTTTGACATATGTGCAGCAATAGATGGCGCTGAAGTATCCGGCTGGCCTGTGAAACAAAGCATGCATTAGTTATCTCTCGTTTTTGAATGAGCTCATTTTTTTTTAGGCATCTATATATAGTGCAAGGAGCCTCCCATCCAAAAATCAAAGCGTTCGGACAAGCAAAGAAAGATTGTTTGACATACGTGCAGCAACAGATGGCGCTGAAGTATCCGGCTGGCATGTAGAACAAAGCATGAATTAGTTATCTCTCGTTTTTTGGAATGAGCTCATTTTTTGTGAGGCATATATATGTAGTGCAAGGAGCCTCCCATCCAAAAATCAAAGCTTTTAGACAAGCGGAGACCGATCTGTTAACATATTGTTACAAGTGCAATCGAGTGAACGAGCGAGAATTGCACTCTTGAAGCAAAAGTACAATGAGCAAAGGAATGAGCGAACAATATATAGAGAAAGCCTAGCATGGTAACGGTCATGCGCGAGAATATGGTGCGCGACGGGCCTAGCACCAAGGTTGGGAAATGACGAGGCGGAGGACCGGAGCGCGGGTTACCAACCGATTTGTTAGGTTGGGTCGCGAGGTGTACAGTGGGGGGAGCAATGGTCGAGGCGAGTGTCGCGAGCCGGTAACGTTTCACTGATGGGTGCCTTTGGCGGCAATTATCATGTACGCGATAAGCAGGGGTGTGAAGTAAGGAAAAGGAATATTCCTTACACATATATGCAACAATAGGCGAATTCGATGAATTACAAGACCGACATGTGGAACAAAGCATGAATTAATTGTCTCTTGTTTTTTTGGGGTTGCCAAATTATGTGGGGCGTGTATATGTAGTGATAGGAGCCTCATAATAGAAGAATCTGGGCGTTTGAACCAGTGGGGCTTGATTAATTAGCATTGTTAACACGCTCGCATCGTTGGCGGGGTTCTGGGCAAGCCTGTGGAACGAGGCATTTTTTTTTACCGCATGTACGAATATGCAAATGCCATCATATATTCGAGATTTTGTATACTCTATTTCTTCAATTCGTAATTCGCACAATCTAACGTTGTTCCATTTTCTGTGGTGTTACATAGGCATGCATGATATTTCATTTATGTTCTAACAGTTAAATGCAAACACCCATAAGCTTTCATTGTGAATAGTTGAAACGTGTAGTGTTCGCCACGTAAAATGTGGTCACAATGTCGCGCGCGCTATCCTTTTTGTGGCCTGGTACACTCACCCACTCTGGAGCTGCACCTCGACACGTGATTCGTTCGCCGATGCAGATAAGCCACCCTATCGCAAAGTTCACCCTATCGCGAGAAGCCACCTTGATGAGCTGGCGGAGCAGTTGAATGGCTGGACACCAACTAGCTCACCTGCTTCGATCTACTGACGCGCATCGAACTCTCTGTTGCTGCTTCTGCTTTCGCTTTCTTACATATGCAACTGCTTCATCATTTTCACTTCCGTGCAGCTTCTTCTTCGCTATCGTACTCCCTCTCCTGATCTAACTTCTCGCTCGTCATCGCCCTGCTTCCTCAGCTTGCTTGTTTCACTAACACTGATACGAGCAGGAGCTTCTGCCTCGTAGAAGTTATCCCTTTGTTGCGCCTCTGCAAGTTCCCTCGTTCGCATCAGGCGCCAAATCTTCATTGCTGGATTAGGAAGTGTGGGCCGTTTTCATTGTCGTTTTGATTATCGGTTCGCTTTCTGGACGCCTTTACTCTGACGTAACTTACTCCTACGTTTTCTGTTTTTGTTGCGCAGGTCGTGCTCTGCTGAATTACCGTTGCGCGTTTGACGCCCGTTGTCCCTGATAGTTTATAACGTCTGCTCGGTTTTTCGCCTAACCTGATCATCTAACTCCGAGCGTTTGCCTTTTGGTCGTTGTGTTGCATCAGTCAGCAGGCATGAAGCTTTAATATCTGCACCAAGTTAGCCTTTGTTTCTGTCTTGTGCTTATTCGAAGTGGTAGAAGCGGTCTAGGTAGTACTGTGAATAGTGTTACAGCGAATTAACACGGGATGTTTAGTGCTTAATCTCACACATTCATTTGTTTGTCTAAATATATCATATCGGTTATATCAGTTACAAACCGTGCCTATTGTTTGTAATTAGAGATGAAAAGCTGAAATTCAATTTTTGAGAGCCATTTATGAAATCGGTTACCAAATGGTTGAAAGGGTAAGAAGGATCTTAAACATACGATTATGGTCATCCACGATCATTGCATACTACTGTAAACAGGCATAAATTGTTTTCTACTGCCATATTATAAATAGCCAATTACGTGCTGAACATTCACGACGAAGTGTTCCACATGTACCATCATAAACAGCCGAAGCTAGCATCCCATTCACGGTCGGAAAACGACCATCCACGTACATTTAGGACCCTGGTCATTTACGACCCCCAAATGGCTACGACCCAAAATGTACTGTTTACACCCGAAATGCCGCTGCTTATGCCCGAAAATATACCCTACTTTTTTGCGATGGTTACAGGTTCTGTGGTAACCACATCCCAGAGGTAGCAGCGCTACGAGTGCCCTGCCCTGTTGACCCCTCCCAGTACGCTCCTCCCTCTTCACTCCCATCCTGCACTCGTTCTCCTCCCCCCCTCCCTCTCCTCCCCTCTCTCTCCTCCTCCACACATTATCCTCCTCCTCACACTCTCCCCATCCCCTCACTCTCCCCCTTTCCACACTCTCCCCTTCCCTCCCTCTCATCCCGTCCCTTCCCTGCCGCATTGCATCGCACCTGCATGAGCGTGCAATCAGTGCCTTTTTCGGTCATGCCTACCCTCATTGACTGCAATTGCATTGCCCAATGTCGTACTACCCGGTGCTGCCCAGTGCCCACCACTCTCGAAGCGACCACGCCTAGCCAGCCACACCCTGCCCTCTCACGCACAACTTCCTGCATGCTTGCTCCCTCGCTCCTCTCTCATCATCTCTCATCCTCTCTCATCTCATCTTCCCTCCCGCCTCCGCCCTTCCATTCCCCATCCCTCCCTCCCACCAACCCACATCCCAGCACCATACTGGCATCGGAGGTCCAATCACACGTTGCCAAGTGTCCAGCAGCCGTGCAGAGGGGGTTGACAGAAGGAGCAGCGTACTTCAAGGGCGGCCTCAATGCAAGAGGGCCGCCACTAGGTGGCAGCAGCAGCTCCACGGCCCAGGCAGGGAGTGGTGCTGCTGACTCCACTGTCGCTCATGCCCATATTGCTGTTGCTGCTGCTGCCCCTGCTGCTCCCACTACTGCTGCTTCAGCGCCTGTGCTTGGCGGCCAGGGCACGGCTGCATCCGCCTCTGCAGGCGTGCGAGTGCAATCAGCAGCAGCGAGCAGGAGGCAGATGGTGGCGGCGTTGGGGGAAGGAGAGTGGCGGCGCCTGCTGCACCTGCTGGGGGAGGCACACGCCGTGGCGTTTGGGGGGCACGGTGGCTTGCGTCTCCCTCCCCTGGCCGCCCTGGGAGAAGCCGAGGCTGCAGGCACGGTTGCTAGTGCGCAGGCAGCAGCAGCAGGGGCAGTACAACCACCGCCACCAGCAGCTGAAACAGGAGCAGCAGGAGCAGCAGCAGCAGGAGGAGCAACAGCAGCAGCAGCATCGGCACCAGCAGCAGGAGCAGCGCCAATGTTCACTCTGCAGCAGTCGGTGCTGTGGCTTCTTGCATGCGATGCATGGGAGCAGACTGCTAGAGACATAGGGGGGTGAGACATGGGGGGTGAGACATGGGCGGGTGAGACATGGGGGGGTGAGACATGGGCGGGTGAGACATGGGCGGGTGAGACATGGGCGGGTGAGACATGGGCGGGTCCGCCCGTCCGTTCGTCCATGATCCATCCATCCATCCATCCATACATCCATCCATCCATCCATCCATGCATCCATCCATCCATCCATCCATCCATCCATCCATCCATCCGTCCATCCATCCATCCGTCCATCCATCCATCCGTCCATCCATCCATCCGTCCATCCGTCCATCCATCCATCCGTCCGTCCATCCATCCATCCATCCATCCATCCATCCATCCATCCATCCATCCATCCATCCATCCATCCGTCCATCCATGCATGCATCCATCCATGCATGCATGCATCCATCCATGCATGCATCCATCCATCCATCCATCCTTCCATCCATCCATCCATCCATCCATCCATCCATCCATCCATCCATCCATCCATCCATCCAACCATCCATCCATCCATCCATCCATCCATCCATCCATCCATCCATCCATCCATCCATCCATCCATCCATGCATCCATGCATCCATGCATCCATGCATCCATGCATCCATCCATCCATCCATCCATCCATCCATCCATCCATCCATCCATCCATCCATGCATCCATGCATCCATCCATCCATCCATCCGTCCATCCATCCATCCATCCATCCATCCATCCATCCATCCATCCGTCCATCCATCCATCCATCCATCCATCCATCCATGCATCCATCCATGCATCCATCCATCCATCCATCCATCCATCCATCCATCCGCATCCTTCCCTCCCCCTCCCCAGTCGTGGACGTGCATCTAGCAGCGGTGCCGTGCGTGCAGCACCGCCCCATGGTGGCTCTCAGCAACCACCTCTTCAATGCCCGCCTCTTATCCAATGCATACTCACCTTTCCCCATGCACCCCCCTTCCCAGTTGCGGACCTGCAGTTGGCAGCGCTGCCGAGCGTAAGGGACCGCCCCTTGGTTGCCATCAGCAAGCACCTATGCGGCTCCACCACAGGTGGGATGCACAGAGGCACGTGGGTTGCACAGGGGCATGTGGTGTGGGGGCATGGCATATGACTTTCAATTTGAGCGTTCCCGGGTGGGACGTGAGGTGGGATGTGGGAAAACGTTACTGTGGGTGTGGAGAGAGGGGTGCGGTTGGGGAAAGGAATGACCCCGCACCACCAGCATGGCCCTCACCACCAGCATGGCCCGCACGCACCACCTCCTTCCCCCTGGCCCGTGCAGATAATTCCCTCTCCCTCGCTCCCGCCCGTCACCTCTCTCTGCTCTGTCCCTCGTGACCATGCAGACTTGGCGCTTAGATGCTGCCTGAACTCCACACACACAAGTCAACCCAGTCAAGAAAGACAACAGGGTCAACCGGGCCAACCCAGCCAAGAGAGGCAACAAGAAACGCGCCTGGCAGGGCTAGCCATTGCCACGTGCTGCCACCACCTGTGTGACTGGGAGTCTTATGTTAGTAAGTGACTGTATTGGGAGTGACTGTGTGCAGTCATAGCACGTCCATTCATGCGTGGCTTCATTTGTGCATAGTAGTGCACATGCAGGAAAACAACATCTTTTCTTGCATCCTTATCCTCCCTTTCATGTTGTCCCCGTGTGTCTGTCAAACAACATCACACCTCCCATTCATGCCCCATGCACGCCTCACTTTTCACAGCCCTCCTAGCATACACCCATTTCATCCCGTCCCCTCCTTCACTCCATCCCTTTTCCCCTCCTCCCCTCTACTCCTCCCCCCTTGGAAGACCCAGCCTTTTTCATGCATCTGGGCTTCGCTCCCTCGGACTTTGCAGCAGTGGCTTGGATGAGCAGCTGGGCGCTGCTTCTATCCCACCCTCCTCCCCTCCTTCCCTCCTCTCCCCCTCCTGTCCCCTCCCCCCAGACCCGGCATTCTTCACGCGACTGGGCTTCGCCCCCTCTGACTTTGCAGCGGTGACATGGATGAGCAGCTGGGCGCTGCTGGGGGAAGGTATGGGCGCAGGACGGGGTGATGAGGATGGGGATGGGGAGAGCATGGGAGGCGGTGAGGAGGGCCAAGAGGCAGGTGAGGAGGCTGGTGCTGCAGCAGCAGCACCAGGAGTTGTCCCTTCAGCAGCAGAGGCAGCAGCAGCAGCAGCCAAGCGGAATGGAACACTAGTGGGGAAGGAAGGTGTGGAAGAAGATCAGCCATCGGAGGCAGCAGCAGCAGCAGCAGCAACAACAACAGCAACAGCAGAAGCATCAAGCAGGCCATCCCCATGGTTCGCCCATCTGTCAGTGGAGCAGAAGGTGCAGGTGGGGAGGGCGTGCAAGATGCTGATTGATGCGGGGGCTGGGGGTGGAGTACGTGGAGTACACGACTGGTGATGTCTTGCCAGAAAACAGGATGCTGCTTGCTGTTGGGAGCCAAGAAAAACAGAAAGACACATTTGGGAGCAGACTTCAGTGTTGTAATTGAAGTTGTGGTATGCAGTTACTACCGGTAATGGTTCGTCTGACATAACATCATCCTGTTTTCAAATTGTTTTTTCTCGGCAGCACCCTCACGGTATCTGCAGTAATTTTCTCCCCTGCAAAGCTCCCTGATGCTTTGATCGGTTAGCTCAGCACAACAGCAGCATGCTGTTGATATACGATAACCAAGAATCTTAGTGGATAGGATAAGGCTATCCAAGTTGTGGGAAAGACAGTGAAGTCTTGTAATGACCTTGTTACTATTAATAAATTGAAAGAGAACAAGACAATAAAGATAGAAGTACAAAAGGCTCAAATAGCATTGTTAGCTAGCCATGTACTATGAGGGGTACATTCCCTTCTTAACTGCTTTGAATTGCTACAGTAATTGTGGCTATTGCTATCCTCGACAGTTACTGGGTTGCAGCGTGTAATCTCTGACGACAGTTGCGGGGTGGTCAACAGTCGCAACTATTGACTTTCTACGACTGTTGACCTTCTTGTGACTGTTGACCTTTGCGTGCTCTATGAGCTAGTGCGGTACTGATACAGGTGCGCTGCTTCGTTATGAAGCGGTGCGCTAAGGGGAACCTTCGGGAATGTTGTAATAACCCTTCGGTTATCCCAGCACTCCCCTCCATTCCTGAAGGTGAGCCACGTGGGATTTCTTCGAGATCCCGCAGAGGTTGATGCAGTGCTGGAACTTCTGACATGGCAGCTTCTTCGTCAAAAATTCCGCTGCCATGTCACCAGTCAGGCAATAGGTGAGTTTGACTCTTCCTTTGTCGATCTCGTCCTTGACGAAGAAGTAACGAAGTGCGATGTGTTTCGTGCGATTCACGAAGCCGGGCTTGTTCGCGATCTTTATCGCGCTTTGGTTGTCGCAAAGTAACTTGAAGTGCCCGTTAATTGTCACTTTCACTTCCTGCAGGAGCTCCACCAGGTACAAACCTTCACGAACAGCTGCGCTGGTGGGATGAGTTCAGCTTCGGCTGGCGAAAGAGCGATGAGCTCCTACTCTGGGAGTTCCAGGAGATGAGTCCAGCAGGCTCGAGCTAAAAAACATCTCCCGCATGGTCCGCATCCACATAACCGCGTAGCTGAAGAGTAGCTGTTAGATTGGCCGTGTAGTCCAGCATGATCCAAGCCTTGAACTCTTTTTCGATCCCGAGATGAATGCCCCAGCGTGCCCGGTTAGTGAAAATTCTTGTTATCGCCGTGTGATGTCTGTACTGTACCATGCAGCCAAACACTCGGAGCAGATGCGTGTCAGCCTTTCTGCCCGTCCAAGCCTTGTAAGGTGAGTTGTTGTTCTTGAGGCTTCGGGATGACAGCAAGTTGTGCAGCCGAACAGCGTGGTTCATCGCGAATGGCCAAAACCTAGTTGGAATGACTGACTGCTTCATGAGGGCTCTCATCCTCGTGGCGAGACTCCTGTTTGTCTGTTCTGCTACTCCTTGCTGTTCGTGGGCAAATGGCAGCGACACTAGGTGCTAGATCCCCTTCTTGGCGAAGAGTTCCTTGAACTTGTTGGAGAAATACTCCAAACCCCCGTCTGTTTGAAAGCTTTTTAGCTTTAGTCCTGATTGTCGCTCGGCGTGTTTCATCCAGGTTACGAAACAGTCGAAGGCGCGCGAACGGTAGTCGATGTTAACGGCCCAGACGTAGCGTGTGCTGGCGTCGATGAACGTCATGGTGTTTTGTTCGCCGTCAAGCCCTTCTTTGGCTCAGAAGCATGAAGTCGCTGTACACCTTCTCGAGCGGCTGATATTGTTTGTAGCCTGGAGGTAAGTCCGGAAAGGGCTGGTGAGCGAGTGACCCGGTCGCGCAGATGATGCACGGCGGGTCGTCCGATGTCGCCTTGAGTATGTCGCCGTTGGGTAGAAGTAATCCGCTTGTGTCGAAGACTTCGGCCGCGATAGAATTTTTAGTGTGGCGTGTGAGGGGTGCCCAAGTTGCTGGTGCCAGATTTCGGGAGTAGCGCGGTAGCCGACCGTTCTTTTGTAACACCTGTTTCTTTCCTCTTCCTCTTGCTGTGGTGTTGCAGATCCTTTGTCGGGGGCGACGCGTACGTCAGCTGCGAAGGCTTGAGTGGATGCTTGGTGAAGATCAGCTTCGGGGACGCCGGCGATGTCGCTAGTGTCGGCGACGTGGATTGAGTCGTCTGTAACTGGAAAATGTTGACGAGGTGGCGCCGCATCAGGCCACTCAAAAGCGGGAAGACCTTCCATTGGAATCCGATGGTAAAGGTATTCGTCGCTCGGGACTGAGATCAGTTGTGGTCCTTCTTCTGGCGGCGGCGGCTCCTCGGTAGGTTCAGGTTGATTTGTTGCTTCTCCAAAATCGTATATCATCCCTTATGACTCCTCTTGTTCTTCCTCTGCAGGTTCATAAGGATATTGATCCAGAAGAGGAGGTCCGCCCCAGCTGGTGCCTCGCATCGCCCCAGTATGGGACAACTTCCGCCACGGCTTCAGGAGGAAGTGTCGGAGCTTCGGGATAAGGACCCGGTGG